CATGACCTTGGGAAACACTGGAGGGGGGAATTTTGAGGAGAGAATGTTAACTGACCAAAAAGCCTAGTTAGATAGGGAGTGAAAGTTTGTAGTGCCATTGGTAACTAACAGATCCACTTTGATGGCTCCAGCAAGGGTAGCTTCTTGGGGCTGATGGGGATGGAGGCAAACTGTAGTGGATTGAGGTGAGATTTGAAAGCAGGACCAGAAGTGAGAGAGACTGGAGTGAGATGGGTTAAAAGTCCAGTAAGCAAGAGAAAATGATTGTGTGAATTGGAGTGACAGTAGTAGGTAGGGAAGGATTTAAGGCACAAGAAAAACATTTTTAGGGAAGAATTAATAGTTGGTGACTAGTTATGAGTAGACAAGGGAAGAAGAGTCAGATAATTTCTGAACTTCTGACCGTATTTTTGAGCTTACTGATGTTGGAGCAAAACTATAGTAAACTATTTTTCAAAATGAGAATTAAAAAAGCACGTGGTAATAAGTTGAAAAAACCTACAGTAAAAAGTAGGAATTCCAAATTATTATTAGTATTAATACCTATCTTCTTTAATTCAGCCTACTGAGGCAGGATGCTAAAGATGAAGACTAATTTGTTGCTTAGTCATGCAGTCCTGTCTGACTCTTTGCGACCCCACAGATACAAGCTCCTCTGTCCAGGGGATTTCTCAGGCAAGTGGGTTGCCATTTCCTCCTCTAGGAGATTTTCCCAACCCAGGATTTAACCCCTGTCTCCTGCTCGGCAGGATTCTTTACCAATGAATCATCTAGGAAGCCCAGATGCTGAGTCATGTCCGATTCTTTGCGACCCCATGGACTGCAGCACGGGAGCATTGAGTCGGTGATGCCATCTAACCATCTCATCCTCTGTCGCCCCCTTCTCCTTCCGCCTTCAGTCTTTCTCAGCATCAGGTGGCCAAAGCATTGGAGTTTCAGCATCAGTCCTTCCAATGAACATTCAGGACTGATTTCCTTTATAATTGACTGGTTGGATCTCCTTGCAGCCCCAGGGACTCTCAAGAGTCTTCTCTAACACCACAGTTCAAAAGCATCAATTCTTTGGTGCTCAGTTTTCTTTATAGTCCAACTCTCACAGCCAAATATGACTACTGGAAAAACCATAGCTTTGGCTACACGGACCTTTGTTGGCAAAGCAATATCTCTGCTTTGTAATATGCTCTCTAGGTTGGTCACAATTTTTCTTCCAAGGAGCAAGCGTCTTTTAATTTCATGGGTGCAGTCATCATCTGCAGTGATTTTGGAGCCCCCCCAAAATAAAATCTCTCCCTGTTTCCATTGTTTCCCCATCTATTTGCCATGAAGTGATGGGACTGGATGCCATGATCTTAGTTTTCCGATTGTTGAGCTTTAAGCCAACTTTTTCACTCTCTTTCACTTTCATCAAGAGGCTCTTTAGTTCCTCTTCACTTTCTGCCATAAGGGTGGTGTCATCTGCATATCTGAGGTTATTGATCTTTCTCCTGGCAATCTTGATTCCAGCTTGTGCTTCATCCAGCCTGGCATTTCGCATGATGTACTTTTCATATAAGTTAAATAAGTAGGGTGACAATATACAGCCTTGACGTACTCCTTTCTCAATTTGGGACCAGTCTGTTGTTCCATGTCCAGTTCTAACTGTTGCTTCTTGACCTGCATACAGATTTCTCAGGAGGCAGGTCAGGTGATCTGGTATTCCCATCTCTTTCAGGATTTTCTACAGTTTGTGGTGCTCCACACAGTCAAAGGTTTTGGCATAGTCAATAAAGCAGAATTAGATGTTTTTCTGGAACTCTCTGGCTTTTTCGATGATCCAGCAGATGTTGGCAATTTGATCTCTGGTTCCTCTACTTTTCTAAACCCAGCTTGAACATCTGGAAGTTCATGGTTCACGTACTGTTGAAACCTGACTTGGAAAATTTTAGCATTACTTTGCTAGCATGTGAGATGAGTGTAATTGTGTGGTAGTTTGAACATTCTTTGGCATTGCCTTTCTTTGGGATTGGAATGAAAACTGACCTTTTCCAGTCCTGTGACCACTGCTGAGTTTTCCAAATTTGCTGGCATACTGAGTGCAGCACTTTCACAGGTCATCTTTTAGGATTTGAAATAGCTCAACTGTAATTCCATCACCTCCACATGCTTTGTTCGTAGTGATGCTTCTTAATAAGGTCCACTTGACTTCACATTGCAGGATGTCTGGCTCTAGGTGAATGATCACACCATCATGATTATCTGGGTGGTGAAGATCTTTTTCATATAGTTCTCCTGTGTATTCTCGCCACCTCTTCTTAATATCTTCTGCTTCTGTTAGGTCCATACCATTTCTGTCCTTTATTGAGCCCATCTTTGCATGAAATATTCCCTTGGTATCTCATTTTCTTGAAGAGAGCTCTAGTCTTTCCTATTTTATTGTTTTTCTCTATTTCTTTGCATTGATAACTGAGGAAAGCTTCCTTATCTCTCCTTGCTATCCTTTGGAACTCGGCATTCAAATGGATATATCTTTGGATAATCAACATACCACTTGTAAACTGTATACAGGTTTTTCATGTAATTGACACATGATTTGATACACTTAAGTACTGCAAAATGATTACCAGTATTAGATTCCCAGCACTTATCCACCTTATAACTGGAAGTTTGTACCCTTTGACCACTATCTCCAGATTTCCCCCACCTCCCAGACCCTAGTAACCACCATTTTACTCTGTTTCTTTTAGTTTGGCCTTTTTAAATTCCACATATAAATAAGACCACACAGTATTTGTCTTTCTCTGTTTGATTTAGTTCACTTAGCATAATGCCTTCCAGGTTAATCCCTGATGGCAAGATTTCCTTCCTTCTCATTGCTGAATAGTATGCCATTTTATCTATATACCACATTGTGTTTAGCCATTTATCCATACAGGGACACTATTGCAAATAATGTTGTAATGAATATGTGCGTGTAGATTTTGCTTCAAGACCTTGACTTCACTTCCTTCGGTTTTATACCCAGGAGTGGGTGTTGCTGGGCCATATGGGAGTTGTATTTTTAATTTTTTGAGGAACATCTATGCTGTTTTCTGTGGTACTTTCACTAATTTACATTCCAACCTGAAATACACAAGAGTCTCCCTATCTCCATATTCTCGCTAAGAAGTATCTCCTGTCTTTATATATATATATTTTTATTTTTGGCTGTGCTGTGTCCTCACTGCTTGGCGCAGGCTTTCTCTTGTGGTGTGCAGGGGCTACTCCCCATTGCCATGCACCGGCTTCAATAGTTGGAGCGCGTGGGCTCAGTAGTTGTGATGTGGGGACTCCATGGGCTTCAGTAGTTGTAGCACACAGGTTCGTTCGTTCTAGCTCATGGGCCCTAGAGTGCTCAGTAGCTGTGGCGCAGGGGCTTAGTTGCTCTGGGGCATGTGGAATCTTCCCAGAACCAGGACTGAACCTGTGACCTCTGCACAGGCAGGCAGATTCTTATCCACCGAAGTCCAAATATCTCTTATCTTTTTGATGATAACCATTCCAACAGTGTGGCTTTATTTCACTAGAGTTTTGATTTGCATTTCTTTGATGATTAGTGGTATTGAGAATCTTTTCAAGCACCTTTCGGTCATTTGGATGTTTTCTTTGAAAAAGCACTATGTTCCTCTGCACATTTTCAAATTGGATTGTCTGCTTTGTAGCCTCTGAGTTGTAAGACTTCCTTATATATTTTAATTATTAACCCCTTATAAGAGAAACAATTTGAAGTGTTTTCTCTCATTCCAAACACTGCCTTTTCATTTTGATTCTTCTGCCAAGGGTTTTTAGTTTGATGTGGGCCCACTTATTTACTTTTGTTTCTGTTGTTTGTGCTTTTCGAATCGCATCCAAAAAAACCATTGCCATCAAGCTTCCACTCTGTTTCCTTCTAGGTCTTACGGTTTCAGGTTTTATGTTTAAGTCTTTAATCCATGGAATACAAGTTTAAAAAAATCAAAGTGAGTTACTGTGAGCTCAAATAGGAGCTTCAAAGAAGTTGGGGTGAAGGAGACTCCAGAGTTCTCTTCAGAGAAGGAACAGAAAGTGGTAACTAGGACATTTTTCAGGCTAGATTCTGTACCTGGGGTAGAGGCTGCACACTTTAGAATGGCCAAGGCCTGGTCTGTGACACAGTTTTATAGAATTCAGAAAAATAGGACTTAGGCTGTATGTTTCTAATGCTTGAAGGGCTTTACATTCAGGTTCTGAGCTTTGTTGGCTGTCTCCAAAGTAATTACTGTTTGTTGGGATTTTGCTTCTATTGCGGGGTGGGGGAGGCTTTGCTTTTGTTTACTTGGTAGAAGTTGTACACCCAGGGAGGCAAAAAAAGAAGTAACAAAAATTCCCATTCCCTGTGAAGTTAAGACGAGGACAGCGACGCCTTAACATCCCTCAGTTTGCCTCTTCTGCTCAAGACACATCAGCACTAAGAGCGAACCCTGTACGGTCCGCAGAGTTGCGCTCCAGTCCGGAGGCGGAACCCCAGGAAACCCCGCCTCCCAAGCCCAATCCCAGCTCTCCGCCGGCGGACAGGAAGCGGCGGCGGGCCTAGCAGCCCGGGAGCCGGTCCCAGTGCGCATGCGCGCGCCCCTGGGGCGCCTGGGGGAGGGGGAGGGGCGGGAGGAAGGGGTGCGGCTCCGCCTGCCCGTTGGGCGCCGGCTGGTCACGTGGTAAGGAAGGAGGCGGAGGTCCCGGGCTCGGGGGAGGGAGGTAGAGAAGAGGGAAGGAGCGAGGGAAGGAAAGCGGGGAAGGGAGGAAGGAAACGAACCAGGGGGAGGGAGGTCCCTGTTTTGGAGGTGCTGGGAGCTTTGCCGGCCCCTGAAGTGGGGCGAGAGGGAGGTGTTTCGCCGTTTCTCCTGCCCGGGGAGGTCCCGGTTCCCGTGTAGGCTCCGGACCAAGCCCCTTCAGCTTCTCCCTCCGGTTCGATGTGCTGCTGTTAACCCGTGAGGAGGCGGCGGCAGCGGCGGCGGCGGCGGCAGCTGAAGATGGTGTTGCTGAGAGTGTTATTTCTGCTCCTCTCCTGGGTTCCGGGGCTGGGAGGTGAGGCACGACCCCCAGTGCCGGGGGCGCCGTGAGCTCGGCGGACCGCGCGGCGGCAGCGGCGGCCGGGCCGAGCGGAGCCCAGTCGCGCCGTGCGGCGGGTGCGTCAGTCAGCCCGGCCGGCCGGCGGCGCCACTCGGGCGCGTAGTGCTCCCCACTCCCTATTGTCCCCCGCGCCCCGACCGCGTTCCCTTCCGTGGCGGGCCGAGGACGCTCTGAATCTCCGGCGAGGCCTTTCCCGCCCCCTGCCGCCCCAGCAGCAGGGGAGGCTGGGGTCGCTTGCCAGAGAAGCAAAGTCGGGAAATCCGGTGGCCAAGCGAGAGCCGTGGGGCTCAGGCTGGTGGCACCATCACTCCAGCGGGCTTGCCGGGCGACGGGGCGGGCAGCTGCCACGGGATCGGTAATCTTTGCCAGTCTGGTCCAGCACTCACTTTCCTTACCCTTTTGCCCCAGCCCCTGCCCGTGGCGAATTCCGGAGTCCCCTCCGCCGCGAAGAATCACCGCGCAGGCTCGTGGGAAGTTGCGATTGTATTGTTCTTTACCGGGTGCGGCGATCCACACCGACCCGGTTCTGCGGAGGGGTCGCCCGAGGAGGTGTAACAGTGGTCTCCTGTTCTGAGCCGGGCGGCTACGGCTCTCCCGAGTGCCCCGCCTCTGTCCGACTGTTCCGAGAAGATTAGCAGGAGGGTGTGTTTCTGCTCTGTGAAAACATTCTGTTGCCCAGGGGAAAGGGTTTCGTGGAGAGAAAGCTAAGTCGTTTCGGGATGTTCTTTGGTCTGTAGGCTGCTTTGCGTCTTTTAGAGGGACGGTCCCTCGTGACCTAACTTGGAAGAGTTTTCTTGAACCCTCAGGTGGAATAGACATATAGTGTAATTAATGGATTGTCAAAACAGTGGCAACCCTCCACCACCCCACCTCCCCACGTTGGAGTTAAAGTGTGCTAAAGCGTATAATTTCTTGATGATTCCGGTTTGAAGACTTTTTTTTTGTTTCCAGTGTAACCCAGGACCAACTGCATCATTTTATTCTTGTGTGAAGCGCTTTATTTTTGGTTAACTTTTTCACTTCCCACCGTAGTAAACTTAAAGACTTTAAAGTATGTTTAAAAGAATTGGAATGGAATTTTTTCGGGGTGTTTTGGATGAGTATAGATTCATTTGATAATTTAGAATATGTCTGAATATTTCATGTAGTGGATTGTTTTTGTTCTTTTCTCTGACTTAGGACTGCATAGCCTGGCATATTTTTGTTCCATCTTTTACTTAGTCTGAGGATACTTTGTAGGTAGACTTCTGTTGCAGTTTGTAGTGTTCATTTTCTAGAGAAACGTTTTAGATTAGGAGCTTCTAGTAGATGTTTAGTTTGAAATATCCATGCTGGATAACCTCTGTAAGGGCCTTTGTTTTTACATTTGTATTTATGTTCTAAATGTGACTTCCAGCAAATTTCTGTTTTCACTTTTTGTTAGATGCTGATTTCTATGAGGTAGTAAAATAAGGCATCCACATGAGGCAGTTTAAACTACTCATTAGTAGTATGTAAAATGTCCTTTGTTTTTAAAGAGTGAAACAGTAAGAACAGACATTGGTCTATTCTGATGGCTGAAGAAAAAGTGTAAATTGACAGCATAATCTTTGCGGGCTAAGACCCTTTTTAAACAAAAATTTTCTAAATTCAGAACTCTGGAGTCATTTATAAAGTATCATTTTTCATTAAACATTGGTTAAAAGGCTGCTTACTTTTTGATGTTTGTTTTAAGCAGATTTTTTTTCAAAAAGCCGCTGAGAAATCTTTAATTTCAAAATTAACATCAAGATTGTAGTTTTGGGGTACCTGGAGATATTTGTAATGTATCTTTGTCTACACATCTGAGCTATTTATGGTTGTTTGTAAGCAGTTTATCTAAGGATGATATGAGAATAGAATGCATTCAGACCCTCCTATGAGAGAATGAATATACGTTTGTGTAGATTAGGACAAGCTATAGTGGAAATGTGGATTTAACTTTAAAGTATAAGTCGTTTTAGATACTTAATAGTCGTTTTTAGTTGCTTTTGCTTTGTGATTTGTCAATCCTGTTTTGCATTAGTTTTTTCTTGCTCTTAGTGTGATGGTGGGAAGCTAGAAAAGAGAATGTGTTTAGAATCTTGAAACTAAACTTTCCCAATGCTGTCCATTTCTCACACATGTCCACCCTGTGTTCTATTTGTAGGAAGATGCAGGACTGAGCGACTGAACTGACTGACTGACTGACCATGAATTTTCTAGAGCTTAGCATCTGTATAGACATGTACTCAAATATATGAATAAAATGCTTTATTATATGCAACCACATTAGAAATTTATTAGAACTATTCTGATTATATATAGCCCAAAGAATTTTTATGTATATGTGAATTGTACTTTTTAACACAAATATATTGGTGAGTTGATGTTTTTTCTTTCTCTTTAAAAAAATGTTTGAGAGGTTCAGAGGTATTTCAGCTGTAGCAGTCAATTCAATCCCCTGTTTTTGTCTAATGAAATCATACTTTAAATGAACTCTTAGAGTATGATTTTTTTTTTTTTTTTGACTGTGCTGTCTGGGCTTGTGGGGATTTTAGTTTCCCAACCAGGGATCAAATCCAAGCTGAGAACATGGAGTCCTAACCACTGGACAACCAGGGAATTCCTGACATGTTTCTTATATTAAAAAGTCTGGTGTAGATGCTTTGCTTTGTTGCATGCTTCTTAAAGAAATAAGTTTTCTGGAAATTGGGCCCAAAAGTATGAAAAGTATCAAAGTTTAAGCTTAAATTATTTCTCACTTCTACCTGCAAGTCAGAGTCTATGAATTTAATAAAATGGACAGACTTTTGGTCTTTATCTTTAAGGAGCTGTGACTCTTCATCTTTTTAATCTTGAGATTGATAGTCCAGCTAACTACTATCTTGAGAAGACCCATTTCAAGCCATTAGTTAGCAGTATCTTTTCTGTGTGTGTAAGGACCTCTTTGAGTAGCAAAGAACTGGGCATGGCAAGCACTCCTCTCTTTTTTGCTCTCATTTTTATAACTTGTTTAACATCTTCCAGGGTGTTTATTATCTAATATCTTTTAAATTATCTTACAGACTTGCAGGGTGGAGCATGGAGAGTAAGGGACATTTTCGTAATGTCTGCTGTATTTCTGATACTGTGTTAGAAGTTTCACTTTCCAACTTGTATGAGAGAGTGGTGACATTCTATATTTGAAGAAACAGGCTTGAAGAAATATTTTTTCTGACATTGTCCACCTACTCAGTGGTGAATTAGACAGTCAAACCCAAGCCAGTTTGACCTAAACCTGGAATTTTTACCTATTGCCCCCTCATTCCTTTTTTTTTTTTTTTTCCAGTTTTATTAGTTGGAGGCTAACTTTACAATATTGTAGTGGTTTTTGTCATATGCCTTTTTGAAAGCAGTTTTCACATGTTAGTTCAACGGTGTTCTCTGGACTGAATCACCTTAGAGATGTGTTTTGTTTGATTTGCAGTGTCTTTAAGTTTCAACTACTGATAAACTTTGAAAAATTGGGAAACTTCTTTTAAAAATGTCTTCTTCTTTTTGGTTAAAATTTACTGACTGTGCTGGGTCTTAATTGCGGCATGTGGGATCCTTAGTTGCAGCATATGGGATCTAGCTCCCTGATCAGGGATTGAACCCAGGCTTCCTGCACTGGGACATGGAATCTTAGCCTCTGGACCACCAGGGAAGTCTCAAATTGGGAAATTTCTGAGTGAAGTTCATGGATTTCTGTATTTTGGGAGGAAGGCTTGAAAATCCTGTTAACTGCTCAGAAATATTACTATTGTCTGGAGCAGAGCAGTAGCTGTTCTCCTCTTTAAACTGGGCTTGGGAATCAGCGTGATTCCCCTCAATCTGGCTGGCTGTATGTATGCTTAGCCTGCTGCACTCATTTTTGTTACTTGCCTCAGTCCTTGTAGGTATGTTATTTGCATCTTTGCTTCAGTTTCATCTTGCAAACATGACAGCAACGTTTATTTGGTTGTGCTGTGTGAAATGTGGGATCTTAGTTCCCCAACCAGGGATCAAACCCATGCCCCTTGCAGTCCCGACAGCAGCCTTAAAATTATTTCTTTTGGATTGAGACCTCTTATTCAACTTTTATTATCTTGTTTATAATATTGATTTTTCTATGGTCCTAGAAACTTGTTAATAAAAACTGTGGCATACTTTTTATCTGGCATTAGGGTATTAGATATTTTACAAAATTCTTATGTTCATAATAGTAACAATTTGAAGGTCTTAAATAATGATAGTTACAATTTTTCCACATCTCTTTATCTCAGTGAGGAAATAAGAAACCACTTCTTTTCCTGCTGGGATGGGACTCAGAAAAAAATTGGTTGAGAGTCCTGTAGGTAACTTAGATGTTTTTTCTTTTAAGAATTGGTTATAAATATAAACTCTGTTTTTGAAATTGAGAAAATGAAATTGAGTAATAAATTCAAGAATAAACTCCATTTTTTTTTTTTAACTTTGTTGAGAGATCACAAGTTTGGCCTTGAGACTGTGTCCTGAATGACAAGTCTCTGGTACCAGACTTTTAAAATATTTTGTTTTTCATGAAAGTTTTTATAAAATGATAAAGTTTTTATAAAACACATTTACTGTGCCCCTTTTAAAGGGGCTGAATTTAATCTTTTCTTAAATGATTGAGATTTAGTATAAGAACAGCTTACTGTTTTGGGCTAAACTTAGTTTGGTTGTCAATTTTTTTACAAGGAAAAGGGAGCAATGTTAAGGATAAATGGAATAATCCTACCATTTAGAGTCTTGTGAAGGTAGTAACACTGCCATGTAGCAGTGTGAAGCCTTTGCCTTAGGACTAGTGGGGACAATTCTGTCCTAGCTAGGTTGCAGAAACAGCAGTACTGAGAACAGTTCTCAGGGAGTGTAGACTCCCTTTGATATTGGGTGATTCCATTCTGAAGCTACTATAGTTCCAACTAAACAATGTG